TTACAAATAACACCATACTACTAAAAAATATACTGATAATTAGTTTGCCAGAATTGAAATGAAATAGTATAAAAAATTAATGAAATTAGAACCTAACATAACAAGATAAACTTAAATTTTAACAATTTTAGAATGCTATTGCTAAAATTATTTTAATATAGATGCCTATATCTTCAAAATAAAACATTTCAGGTAATGTATAACAGGACTACTTAAAATTTTTGGGGTTACTTGAAAACAAATCTTCATATACTGGTGCTGCCGCCAAACGGTTCAATTTAGGACCATCAGCGGTTGACAGTCGGTTAAAGCGGACTCTCGGCGACGTGTATTCATAGTGGGTATCTAAATTGCATTTACACACATACTTTGATTACTATACGAGGCAAAAGAGAGGTCCGACACGCCCAACATAGGGCGCGGCCATTTTGAACCCTGTGACACAGTTTACAGCTAAAGAATCAGATCGCTAATTCTGCGTCGCCACTTTTGATCTCAATGTTTCAGTTTATACACTGTGCAACTCGGATAATACAATATATGACAACCGCCTATAATAAAACAGCATTCTTCTGCGTATCCTGAATTTGTATCCCTGGAGTGGATGTTATTTTGAAACTTTCAACTGGTCCTAGTGAGATAACTGATTCTTAAGCAATAAACTGTGACTCCAAAAATAATATTCACTGACACTGACAGCAGCAAGCAAAATATCAGGTGCGTTTTAATCATCCGCTTCTGCCTCCGGAATTGTTGGTTTAGTCGTTTTAACCTGTCAGATTAAAACAAGAAAACCGACAATTCCGAAGCAGAAGCGGATGAATAAAACGCACCTATTAAAAATATTGCGCCAAGATGTAGGTAACATGTAATAAGGGTTTAAAATGGCGGAGTTTTCTATCTCCTTTTAAAAGGCACTCAGAAAGCTGCGCAGTGCGACCATTCTCCGTATATAAAAGAAAATCAAAGTATGTGGATTTACATTTTTCGTAGGGTCCATTGCAAATATAAGGTAAAAAAAACATGGTTTTTAATTTTCCTAACACTTTCCATTATCTAGCGCTTCTGATAACTCCTAGACAACCACCGATTTTTTCCCTGAGTCAATTTTAACCGCTTAATCCAAATGTAACCTCAAATCTAGCCTGTCTTTTATTTGAGAATCATTGGTGCCGATTTTGTTTTTTAATATCATTTCAGGGTTACTTGAAAATAATGATGCAAGCATCAAAAAGAAGGTCATATCGAAATTACAGTGAAAAGATGCTTAATGAAGCTGTAGCAAGGTATGAGTGTGGTAATTTAATATAACTAAGTGAGAAGTATGTAATACCTTACGTAATATTATATAGAAAAATTAACAAATTGCACACGCAGAAGCATGGACGTAGTACCGTGTTGACTCTTGTTCGTGTTGTTCGTGTTGTACATATTCAGAATGATGTTTTTCATTTGAATCAGCAAATATAAAAGATTTAGTTAAAAACCACTTGTCCAATCAAAGCAGTTTGTAAATAACCGACCTGGGGAAGATTGGTTTGAAAAATTCTTGAAACGTGCCTCCCGAAGCACTGTTTAATCACGACGAGACCAATTTTACGGATGAACTGGAGCGCATCAAAGTTATTGTCCGAAAGCAATCCAAAAGAGCTAAAAAAACATGAATACGTCAAAATCTTCGACATCCGTTATGTTTGTCTGCTCTGCATCTAGAATATTGCTACCTTTATACGTCGTCTATAAGTCGGACTATTTATAGACGACTTGAACAGAAAGTGAACCTACCAATGCTAAATACAACAGAAGCCACTCTGGATTTTTCGATACTAATCTATTTGAAGACTGGTTTTCTAAAATTGCAATTCCATATTTTAACTCTCTACCTCCTGGTCAAAATGTTTTAATAGGAGATAACTTAGCCAGCCATATCTCCGTCAGTGTTATTAAAAATTGTGAAGAGAACAATATTTGCTTTGTATTATTACCTCCTAATAGCACTCACTTATGCCAGCCGTTAAACTTAAGCGTTTTAAAACAAATTAAAAGCAAATGGAGATAAATTCTGCGAGGTTGAAAGAAACAGAATAAAGAGGTTATAAAGAAAGATATATTTCCTAAATTTTTCAAGCGATGTCTGTAGAGTGTAAATAGTGAGAACAATATTAGATCTGGATTCGAAGCAACTGGCATAGTGCCGATTAACCGGCAAAAAATTATCTGAGAACTGTTTCAAGAGGCGAGATTTAAAAGAGCAAGAATGTCCAGTGGAGGGCAAAAAAAGAAATTGTCAGTAAAACCTGACAAACGTAAGATATTAAACATGTATCGTCCACACAAATCTAAAAAAAACCAAAGGCAAAATTAAGACCTAAATCAAAGAGAAACTTAGCACTGTCAAGTTCAGAGTGTGATGAAGACGTATTACCATACTGCAGAAGTTTGCTTTATCCTTGAAGTCTGGAAAATGGACCCATGGATAAAGAAAAGATAGCCTTTGCCACCGGATCTGGATTATGATAATTTAATATCATCCCTAGTCATCCTATTTGGACTATATATAGTCTTCGTGTCATTTTGAAGACATGGAAAATGTATGCTTGGTATATTAAGAGAAAATCATGGTCTTGGGGACGACATTTAATAAATACCTAAAGATGTTTTTAAAAGACTTGAAGCTGTTCAACTGATGCTAAATCTCAAGAAATGTCAGATATTTCAAAATAAAGTCAACTATATAGGTCCTATTATACTCAAGGATGTCGTGGCTGTAGATAAGGAAAAAGTCGCTTCTATCAAAGCGGCTATAACCAACTGGTAAACATCAAATAAGTTTTCTTGCGCTTTGTATGTACTACCAAACATTCATACAGAAGTTTGCGGATATTGCTAACGCGACTTACAAAAGAAACAAGAGAGCTTTGTCCAATCGGCTTTGAAACTCTAAAGATTTAACCGCAGTGCCAATATTGGGCTACCAACCACTCTTACTACTAATTTTGAATATTAATAATAGTAATGCGGAGGTGTTTTCGTAAATTCAGAAAAGAAAAGAAAGAGTACTGAGTTATTTTAGTAACGTGCTCTCGAAACCTGAACGAAATTACTGCGTCACGGGAAGAGAACACTGTCAGTTTTAAAGTGCGTGGAACACTTCTACCAATTCATATATTAAAGGAAATTTTAAATCATGACCGATCACGCAGACCCTTTAGTGGCTGATAAGGTTTAAAAATCCGGAGGGTCAAATCGCCAGACCAATTAAATGCCCACTCTCTTTCTAGATGACCGTGCCCAGCAGAAAGAAAAAATAAATAATCGACCAAAGATTGGAATCTTGGAACCTTTTTGACTAGAGCCGTCAGTGCCTCTATCAATTGGTTTATCGAAGCACATGACTGCAACATAAGTCGAATTTGTAAATTTGATGTTAATCAGTTTCTGACTGTCGTCAGCGCGCGCCCACACACACACACACACACACACACACACACACACACACACACACACACACACACACACACACACACACACACACACACACACACACACACACACACACATATATATATATTCTTTTCCCCTCCCAGCTCCTTTATCCTCAAAGCCACTCTTGTAACATCGTATAGAATACTAGTAAACAAAGCTTAGTAAACTGAGATTAGTAAACTGAGATTAGTAAACTGTGATTAGTAAACTGAGATTAGTAAACTGAGATTAGTAAACTGAGAATAGTAAACTGAGATTAGTAAACTGAGATTAGTAAACTGAGATTAGTAAACTGAGTTAAGTAAACTGAGATCAGTAAACTGAGATTAGTAAACTGAGTTAGGTAAACTGAGATCAGTAAACTGAGATTAGTAAACTGAGATTAGTAAACTGAGATTAGTAAACTGAGATTAGTAAACTGAGATTAGTAAACTGAGATTAGTAAACTGAGATTAGTAAACTGAGATTAGTAAACTGAGATTAGTAAACTGAGATTAGTAAACTGAGATTAGTAAACTGAGATTAGTAAACTGAGATTGGTAAATTAAGAATAGCAAACTGAGATAAGTAAACTGATATTTGTAAATTGAGATTAGTAAACTATGATTAGTAGAAGATAAAGAGCACAGATTGTGTGAGGAGGAAGACGGAACCTATTCACATTCTAATTAAAATTGTGGTATTCCAGAATCCAAGGGCACTATACTATGAAGCATACCAAATAGAGGAGGGCGATCTACCTAACTTCACTCCAAATCCTACATTCCCCTTAAAAAGATGGGTTTAAAGGGTCGATATAGGCATCGAGACTATTACCTTACTGCATTAGCAACAAAAAAGGAAACAATAGATCTTTTAAGACACTGTATGCATACATTATATAAAATATAATATTCCAGCATTTTTGTTACTGTACATTTTAATCAATGATTTATCAAGTTTTGTAATTCTAGAATATCTATTTGAAATTCTATAGGGACCGTGCGTCATGACTTTAACGCCAACTAATGACAAAAATGTGACCTTTTTTGGGGGGATTTATTAATGTTTTATACGGCATTTATTGTGTAATGTGAGCCATTTTATTATTCATTCATGCTCTAACCCTCCAAGTCCCTCTCTGTCTTATTTGGCCTTTGAGGCTCAACTTGTCCGATTATCATACATCATTAAACCCCTTAAGACCAAATATATGTGACGACTATGGCGTAGGTGCTTTCGAGACCTTTCCAGATAAAACATGATAATGTTTCTAGTTTTGGCGAAGAACATTTTAAAACATTCCGGATATTTTGGTGGATGAGCATTCTAGACCACCAATTTTTTCACTGTACATTTTAATCAATGATTTATCAAGTTTTGTAATTTTAGAATCAAAACATCGATATACATTTTTCAAGTTAGACATTTTTAACCATAATTTACTGCCTTATATTCAACTCTATGAATTTATATCCCTATTTTCTGACAGTATAACCGTAGCTGCGATGCGGCTGTAATAAAAGGCCACTTACCTTAAGGACGGAAGAATGATGGACTCGTATTCTTCGACAGTAGCTTCCTGTACGAAATACAAAACCGATTGTAGCACGGCCGCCAACACCTCTTGAGTTCTCATTTCCTGTTGCAAACAAGGCCACACGGTTTGATACCACATTTTCTGAAAAAAAGAAAAACGGAAACGAAATAAATACGAAACGTCAATGGGATAGCGGGATTTAAAATTGAAATGAAATTGAAAAAAAAAAAAAAACTTCATCGTCGAATCTCGTAATATTTTTGTTCTGCTTCCTGGATAAAACTCTTGAATAAAGATATATACGTAAATAGGCAATTTATCAACTCTCTAAATCTCCAAATTAAAATAATTATGGTAGATTTTTATTTGCTTATTTTTTATTTTAAACTACTTGTGCAATACTAGGAATTTTAATATTATAATAACACAATAAATAGTGTAGTATCTAGAACGATAATTAACTACGACCCCTATAGCACCACATACAGATAGATGACTCAGCTGCTATCTACGAAAGCTATAGATACACAGAAACGACATAACACCATCTCCATCTGCACATTTAGAGAACGTCCACAAGAAGTGGTTGTCTCCCCAATAATGTAGACGATAAAAAAGTTAGATGGGCAATATCTAGCTTCTGTCCATTTAAATCGCCAAGACCTAACGGTATCTATCCAGCCCTACTTCAGTGAGATATGGAAGAACTCACACCGCACCTGGTGGGGATATTCAGATCCTCGTTGGCTCTGAGGTATATCCCCCAAAAATGGAGAGAGGTAAAAGTGGTATTTATACCCAAACCTGGAAGGATGGATTACACTGTCCCAAAAACATACAGGCCAATTAGTCTGACATCGTTTTCCATGAAGACATTGGAAAGGCTATGCGAAAGGTACATAAGGGATGCGGTGATTACAACAACACCACTACACCCAAACCAACATGCAAACACCCCAGGCAGATATACTGATTCAGCCCTTCATCTAGTTGCTGGCCGGATAGAAAGATTCCTGGACAATAAGGAGTCCGCCTTGGGTGTTTTCATAGAAATAGAAAGTGCTTTTGATAAAACCACCTTCCCAAAGATAATACACTCACTAACTAATAGGAATGTTCCACAAATGGTTAGTGGGTGGATATATTAATATGCTCTCAAAGCGAGCAGTAAACATAAGTGTAGAAGATGTGAATATAAGAGGCTTGATTGCGAGGGAATGTCCATGGGGAGGGGTGCTGTCACCTCTACTGTGGAATATGATCCTCGACACACTCATCAGCCGCCTCAATAATGACAGTCACTACACAATAGCATAATGCAAACAAAGAATTTTAAAAACATACGAAAAATGCAAGTAGCTCTAAAAATTATAGAACAGTGGTGCAAGGACCATTCACTGTCTATCAATCCTAAGAAGACAGAAATGGTATTTTTCACAAGGAAAAGGTTGAAAATAGAATTAAAACCCCCAGAACTCGTAAACACAAAACTAAACTTTGCAACAGAGGTAAAGTGCCTAGGTCTCACCTTTTACAGCAAGTTAACATGGAACTCGCATTTAGAAAACAGAGTTTAAAGAGCATACATTGCTTATGAACAATGCCGCCGAACCGTGGGGCGCAACAAAGTCGTCGCATGGACTTACACGGCTATCATAATACCTATGATAACATACGGTGCAGTTGTCTGGGTACCGAAAACCCAAAAATTAACAGATATCCGTAAACTAGAACAAATTCAAAGAACAGCATGTCTCAACATAACAGGAGCCATGAAAACAACACCGACTAGAGTCATGGAATCATTTTTAGTCTCACTCCTCTTGATATTTACATCAAGGAGTTTGCTCTGACGACAATGACACGCCTCCGCACGGTCGGAATAGAACCTGATAAAGGATCTGGTGAGGCCAGACGTCACTTTTGGCAGGAGGCGCTGGATACGCTTTCACTGCTTTAAGCGAACAGGGACTCAATCTCATCAAAATATATATTTCATAAGCCATATAAAGTTATAATAGAACAAATATAAAAGCCAGAAGTGGCAGGTATGATTCATATAAAAACCGACGGTTCTTAAGCAAAACAAGGCTCAGGATGTGGAATATACTCCAGATTCTTAAACCTAAACATAAAATGGGCTGTGAGCAATAGTGCCAGTGTAGTTCAAACAGAGCTAACGGGGATTCTCATAGCAGCAAAAAAAAATTACCAGAAACAATATCACTGGAAGGAACATGCTCATCTATACAGATAGCAGACAAGCACTACTCACCCTAAACAGACAACGAATTTATTCAGGGTTGGTACTAAAATGTCACAAAGCTTTGGCCGAAGTATCTATCAACAACGTGGTCACCTTAAGATGGATTAAAGGTCACGCTACTTTGAAAGGTAACCGTCTTGCTGATTCACTAGCCAAGAAAGCAGCCAACCAAATACTTTTTGGACATGGCCCTTCTATTGGCCTGACAAAATCGGTAGTGACAGACCTAATCAAAGAATATTCCCTTGTGGAATTTAAGGAAAGATGGGATGAAACAAGAAACTGTGGAGTTGCCAGGGAGCTCTTAAGTTATCCTGACAACACTGCAGCAAACAAATACTTGACTATGACTAGACAGAATCTGCACCTAGTCACAGGCATTCTCACTGGTCATTGCCAAGTACGAAAGCATCTCCATATCATGGGGCTGTTAGAATCCGCACTCTGCAGAGGGTGCGAACAAGAAGATGAGACCATCGAGCACATCCTTTATGATTGCTAGACGCTCTTATTTATTAGAAGATTTGTGTTTGGCTAGTATCGGCTAACACCGGACGATATAAGAGAAGCACCTCTTGGCGACGCACATACGTTGATTTCAAGGATTTAGGCGGTCAAAAATCAAATTTTTAAAATGAATTTAAAAATACCACAAGCATACGAGAGCCAAAGGAATGTTCCAGTAACAATATTTTACCATCCCCTCTTGCGAACCTATCTTCGTGCGCGCGCGTAGTTAGTTGAAACTTGGTCGTCTCACGGAGTGCATGTCATTGTTCTTAGCGTCCTCAGTGTAAACATTTAAGCAAAGGTAAATTTTGTGGTGTCCACCTAATATTTTAAAGTTATTTTAATGGATTCGAATAATACAGGTAAGAATCAATATTTATTGATATGTTTAAATGTTTTTTAACGTTATATAATAATATTTATAGAAATTCAATAAAGGGTTGTTTTAAATGAAGTTTTTACTAAATTTTAATGTTATTAGGATTTTTTGTTATATTATCGCGTCTTCTCGGGTAATACTTGTTATTGTATTATATACTTCGTACATTAGGCTAATTAATGACATACAATTTGAGTGCGGATAGGTGCGGATGACCAAATTATGTTTTTTTTAGGATTAAAAAAAAAATGGAATTTTAAATCAAATGTACTTAACTGCAATTTTCTTTATTTTAGGTACACCTGGTACTTCGGGTACAAAAATAGTTAGCCGCAGATATCTTTACGATCTAATGCAACAACATGAATTGCCTAACTTGGATGAAAAACTTAAATTTCTGGAAAATCACCTGTTGTCCTCTTATAGTGATACACCAGATAATCTAAGCAATTTAAAACAAAGATTTGCGTACTTTAAAACCTCAATCAAAGAAAAATGGTCTAAAGCCCATAGAAAAGAAGCAATATTTCTTAAAACCAATAAAGCTTGGTTAGAAGGAACATTTGAAATGTTAGCAAATAAACAAACTCGACTAGGTCGGCCTTCTAAACCATTTGAAGATTGTAGTGAGAGGACTAAAAGAAGAAAAACAGAAGAAATACGTTCTTCGCTTAGTAAAGAAGTAATTGTTCATGCAGCGCAAATAACATTACAGGTTCGAGGAAAAAGGGATGCTTCGAAAATATTAAAAGAAATAACAAATTCTCCAACTCGTGCAGGAAAATACAGAAACGCATACAGAAAATCAGACCAAGACGAAATTACTTCTTTTACACCATTACAAGCCCTAGCCATGTTTGTTGAAGCCGATTTGACCAAGAGACAATATGAAATCATCAGGAATACAAATAAATCATTTTATCCGTGCTACAACCTATTGTTAAAGGCAAAAACAGAATGTTATCCGCCCAAAGATAGCATGACTGTCACAAGTACCTCTGCAGAAAGCAATTTACAAAGCCTAATTGATAATACAGTTAAGCGCTTATCAATGGCGCTAGAAGAAATCCTTTGTACTTTAAAGGACAATGAAAGGAATTCTTTGAAAATTATCTGTAAATGGGGTTGTGACGGATCCCAACAAGCCAAATATAAACAAAAATTCGACGATGACACTGCTTCAGACGCAAATATATTTCTGAGTTCTTTTGTACCACTTCGAATAATGTGTGGCAAAGAAGGCAAAAAAATAATTTGGCAAAACCCAACACCGTCATCGCCTAGATATTGCAGACCAATTCGATTTAGGTTTGTCAAAGAATCTACTGATGTAACAAAGGAGGAAATCAGTTACGTTGAAGAATCTGCCAAGAAGTTAACATCTACTGAAGTAATTTTTCATGGAAGTAAATTCATATTTGAACATATCTTCAAAATGACGATGATCGATGGTAAGGTGTGTAATGCTGCAACAGATACAAAATCAACAAGTCGGTGTTATATATGTGGAGCAACATTTAAAGACTTTAACAATCTGTCCCAAAAGTATACAACTTCTAAAGCTATTGAATTTGGTCTATCTATACTACACGCCAGGATTAGATTGTTCGAAAGCGTTTTGCATCTGGCGTATAAATTACCAGTAAAAAAGTATCGAGAGAGGAGAACTAACGAAGAAAGGGAGTTAGAAGTACTTACAAAAAAACATATTCAAGAAAGATTTCGAAAAGAAACTGGATTGCTAGTCGACATGCCAAAAGCTAATTTCGGGAATACCAATGATGGTAACACTAGCAGAAGATTCTTCGAAAACCCTCAATTAGCTGCCGATATAACAAAAGTTGATTTTGAATTAATATATAGACTGAAGGTTATACTGGAAACTATCTCAAGTGGTCATAAAATAAATGTCCAGCAGTTTGATGAATATGCCATGGCTACTGCGAAATTGTATGTCGACCTATATGGATGGCACCCAATGACTCCGACCATGCATAAAATATTAATTCATGGTGCAGCTATAATTGAAATTGCTTTATTGCCCATAGGACAGTTGTCGGAAGAGGCAGCAGAAGCCAGAAATAAGCATTTTCGGTTATATCGTGAAAACTATGCTAGAAAGTTCTCAAGGGAGGACTGCAACCTCGATATATATAATAGATTATTACTAAGTTCAGACCCATTATTAAGTAGCATGAAACAAACAAAAAAAAGCCTTAAACTAAAATCATTTTGCCCTGAAACAATAAATATGTTACTTCCAGGTGACCCGAATATCGAATCAGATATTTCAGACACACATCAAGATTGATCTATAAACAAATAATCAAATCTTTTAAAATATGTATTTGTATCTAAATTAATAATGTGTAATCAAAATATTTATTTGTTCGTAAAATTTGTCATTAAAAAGGTTTTTTTTAAACTTTGTCTTTTTTTTCTCATTTTTTTAAGGTTTTGGCGGGAAAATATGCTAATTTGAGAATGGGCAATACTTTCCAAAAAGATATGTTATTTAAAGCCAAAATACACTGTAAAATAATTTTGACCGCCTAAATCCTTGAAATCAACGTATGTGCGACGTTGTCAACAACATTAAATCTGTAGGCTAGCTAACGAGCTAGGAGGTGCCTATCTTCTCAGGAATATGCACAATGGGCCTTATGGCGCCTAAGTGCCGTGTGGAGTAACCCACCCTTCACACATTACAGATACAGAGATCCCAATAATGTGAAGCCTAACCGTAGGCAAATTTCTATGCAGATTGACTAAACTCAGCATGCCCTGTCAACATAATCATATCTGCTAAAGGCAACTTTGAAAATATCCTGTGTGGTATAGCCTAACCAGACGATGGTGCCGTGAGGTGGAACTTAGTATAAATCTCACGATAACAACTCTAGTAGCCATTTTAAGGAAAATTAAACTTAATCTCAAAACCATCAAATAAGACGGGATAGATATAGAATGGGAAAATGAGGTCAAATATCTAGGCGTAATCCTGGACAACAAACTTCTCTGAAACATATATGAGATGGAAGTAGTAAATGAGGCCACAGAAGAACAATGGTATGCAAAAACAAACATGAGAAATAAAGAGATTAATAACCAACATGTAACAATATTACTTGCAAAATAATCTATAAAGAGATTTAATTGACAAAGTCGTGATCCTTTTAGCAAAAGTTTAAAAATTTTAAATGTCTATGAAAGAAGCAAACTTCAACATAAGGAGAAACAAGAAAATGAAGCTCTTCTGCGAATCTGAATGACACAGGCTCGACAAAATCCAAGCCAAAATCCAAGAAACAACCGCTGTTAAACCCAATCGAAGCTCGTATTAAGCGAATTTGACAAGCATACACCAAAGGACCAAATGATTTTGGTTAGATTGAGGTTATCCATACTTAAACTTAATAAACAACAACGCTTTAAAACTAAATCGAATCTCACATCAAGCGAATCCGACAACCATACTGCACTGTTTTTATTATGTTACAATGTGATTTTTAGTGTTAGAGTAGACAGATGATATAAAAAATAATATCACTGGTCAACAAAATATATTTGTCAGAAAAAGCAAAACCTTTTATTCTCATTCATACTCCCATATATATACACAAGGTTAACTACATGACTCTCACACATACAACCAAAAGTTTTCCGTTCGATTGAGATTAAAAATGAATTCGGATTTTCTGTTATTTCCGGAAAAACTGGAAGTAAGCCATAACGTCACAGAATAATTGTATCTATCATAAAATAGTATATTACATTACGAGTGTGGAAAGTGACATTTTTCACACGAGTGGGAAATATTGTCGCACGAGGCGCAATCCGAGTACGACTATCACACGAGTGTAGAAAATCACTTTTCACACAAGTGATGTACAATGTTTTTCCTACGACCACAAAATAATGTCATCAAAAAATGTAAAACCAAGGTTATTATTACTATAATAATTAAAATGTATTTAAAGAAATATTCATTAATAATCGTATTTATTTAATTTTCATATTTTTTAAACAAAAAAAAAAATAAAAAAAAACAAAAAAAAACAAAAAAAAATTCTGCCCCGCCAGGATTCGAACGCGGTCTCAAATGGCAAAGTTGATAAAGTTCGATGTTCTAACCACCTCAGTTAATAGCCCTTGTGGCAATTGAATGATCTAATGGGTTATGTATTTAACCAGAATAAAGAGCAAACATTATTTTAAAATTATTTTAATAATAATTGTTAAAGATAAATATCTAGGATCTAATTTACAACAGTTTCAATAATTTAACAATCATATTGATTTTAGTATTAATATGGACATTACGTAGATCAAAATAGAAATTAGGTGTTTGACATTTTGTGACAACTACTGCGGAAAGTAACATATTCGTACGCGGGTGGAAAGTAAATTCTTATTTATACGTGTGTGATATAGGGTACTTTCCATAGGACTATAAAGTGTGATAGTGATATGTGTCACTTTCCTAAGTGGTCGTAGGAAAAAGTATTTGTTTCAGTCTATCAAACAAAACAAAATTGTTATGATATCTCAATGAATAACGAAGACAAGGGGCGGAGTAAACATAGGGAGAATATTGCTATTTCTTAAATTGTAACAGATGGAAAGTTAGTTAAATTCGACAAAGGTTGCGCAGTTTTGTGTTCATTAAAATATTGTCAAGAAACATTTGATATCAGCAGGGAGATTCAAAATATCAGATAAAAAAATAAAATTATCATTTTTAATAAAATAGATCTATAAAAACTGAAATTCGGCTATGAAAATTTAACGTGACGATAAAATAAGGTCGACCAAAAGAACGACTTAATTAACCTGAACCGACTGGGTATTATAACAGGCGTTTCGTTGGAAAATCTTTTCTTGGAACGAGCTCAGTTAAGAAAAATCATTCGAAAACTCACCTTCGGAATGAACGGTAGTGCGTCTTTGAGACCGATTCTGTAGAAATGTGACTTCTGCGTGGGGTCTTTCATATTTATCACGTCGAGAAACTGTAGAGCGTGTAAGGCTGGATCGCTGAAAACAATATTACAAAAATTAGTTATAAAATATTTCACTGTATAAATTTATTTTTGATTTAATTAATGACCCGCTTCTACCTTATACAGATTATTTGACGAAGGACTTTTATTAATCTAATATTTTACAGTAAATTAATATTTTAAAAAGTGAAACATTCAAAAGAATAATAATATACAGGGTGGTTCAAAATTGAGAGAAAGATTTTAAGTGCGTATTTATCAGCCAAAAATAGGAAAAAAAAAATATATAATCGTATGTCCTAACTTGCTTCGTTTTCAAGATACAGGGTGTCAAAGTTTTTTAACAAAATCGGTTTTTTATCAATAACCTTTTAGCCGATTTAAATAAAATTTGGTAGGCTTATTTGTCGCCTTTCTTTGGTAACAATAAAATAAATTTAATATTTCCAGTGGCGTCTCAGGGGGCTACCTACTTGATACTTATAAGTACAATTATGGTACGGTACTGCTTTTCTGACAATTTAAATTTTGTTTTCGAATAAGTGGTCAATAATGTAACTTTCTTTATTCCTGAGCATTACTCGTATCCAACTTTATTTCCAAGAATAAAAATCAAAATCTGTGCCTGGACCTATTAAAACAAGTAATAAATTAACATCAATAATAATAATGTTTATTTACCAGAAATATATACATTGAGATACAAAAAATACAATAGGAAATAAAATGTAAATAAACAAGAAATGTGTCACTGAATCTGCTCACTGTACAAAGTACAATGAGAAATTGTGTTTAACAAAAAATACGACAATATAATAATAAAACTTATAAATATAACAATACAATAGTAAGAATTGGAAAATATGAAGCAAATACAATTTAAATTTAAATTATTAATATAAATAAAAATTATATAAATACAATCTTTTACACTTTTGATATTACATAAATAAAATTTATTTACAATATACCTCGGCATAGGTATCTCATACAACAAACATTACTTCTACATAGACAAAAAACATTTTAAAAATATTCAGATTCTTTAGCGTTTATAATATACTTTCCAATTATTTAATTTCTATTTTTTTTATTCGATTATATTAGGGAAAAAAGTTCGCGATGTTTTTGCTATAAATTCTTACATATCTTTTAAACTTTTTTATTGTTTTTATTTCTCGGAGCTCCGTTGAAATGCTATTAAAGAATTTTGGACCCAGAAACCGATAGCTATTTTGTCCAACTGATTTATTTATTCGTGGTAGCAAATAATTGTCTCTGTTTCTTGTATCATATTGATGCAACGGTATTTGCAGTTCATCTTAATTTTTAAATTGATACGTGAGTGTTGCTTGATAGAATAACTGTCGTAAGTCAAATATCTAGGTATCTTGAAACACATTTTCAAAAGGATATCTTCTATTTTTGTTAAGCATTATTTTTAAAAAACTTTTTTGAATAATCTCGATTGGCTTTAAGTGCGTTTTAGTGACTGCACTCCAACCAATTATTCCATAGTTGAGATGAGATTCGAAAAGGCTATGATACAAAATTCTCTTCTGTGGTAATTCTAGCACTGGTGATACTTTTATGAATTTAAATAAGACACTACGGAGTTTCTTGAGTACGTTTTGAGTATGCTTGTCCCAGAGATTCATTTGTTTTCTTTAATTTCTTTTTAGAATTTAACTTATCCTAAGTAACACATACATAGAAAAGCAAATTTTTATAACAAATGTTGGATGTGACTGTCTCCTAGTGCGACTCAACCCTCCTTTCTTCGCCTCATGGACTGCCGAATGCGCTCGAAAATTCTGGGAATATTTTTGACTACCTCGAAGGCATTAAATTTCCAATGTTGTAGGATTTCAATAGAAGGAACTAGTCCTACATCATACACCAGGCTTTCAACATAGCCTTATAAAAAAAATCCATCGGGGTACAGTCTGGGGAACGCGATGGCCACGCTAATGGGCCTACTCGGCCGATCCAGCGTCTGGGGAATTCAAGGTCTAAATATTCGCGGACCGTTATTGGAAAATGGGGAGGGGATCTATCGTACATAAAATAAAGGTTTTGGCAAATATTTAATGGCACATTATCCAATAAACCGAATAAAATATTTTATAAAAAGTCGGGGTATCACTATTTTAAGATGGGAAAAAATAAATTGACCAAATAAAAAGTCCCCAACAATCCCTGCCCAAATTATTAAACTGAACTGTCCTCGTTGGTTCGACTGTCGAATTTCGTGGGAATTTTCCATTTCCGAAACATATATGTTATGATAATTAACGATCCCATCGCAGATAAATTGGGCTTCGTCCGCAAACTGGATACGAGTTAAAAAGTTCGAATCCTTGGCACAATTATTTAGACCTATCCATCTTACCCGCAGGGGAAAATCGCGTGGAAGCAAACTCTGCACGCCCTGGATATGGCATGGATAAACACTATTTTTATGTAAAATCCTCTAACGAAGGTTTAAATCCCGTGCATTTGCCTCGTGCTTAACGCAGGATTCTCCCCAATAATTTGCAGAATTTCCTCTTTAGTCACCACGTTGGACTTCACGCGGCCTATCAACATTCATTCTGATAGTTTGGAATCTTCCAAATTCCCGGAATTTCTAAAAGATCTGCAGTTAGGCAGCCAACGATAAGGAAATCTTAACGAGTACATCCTACGAGCTTCAAGCGCGTTTCCATCAGCCAGACCATAAACAAAACAAATGTCTGCAAGGTGCTCGAATGACTATGGTTCATTTTCCTTTGTTAAAAAAAAAATAATAAATTAAAAACAATCACATAAAAATAAATAAACTGACTGTAAACACCAAAACGTAAATAATGTCAAATATGTCACTGTTTAGGAGAAAAACAAAATACTGCTAACAAAGGTCTCCTATGTTTTTTTAAAGACATTTTCATAATATTTACAATTTTTTTTGAAAATGCAAACAAAATTATTAATTAAATAAAATCACACTCAGAGACGACACTGGAATAAATGTTAAATAAAAATTCATAACACAAATAAAAATAAGGACAGACCACCTATTTGACAAGTAATTAATTTTTTACTTTTTTTATTAGGGCCAGGCACAGATTTAATTTTTTTTTCTTGGAAACAAAGCTAGATACGAGTAAAGCTCAAGAGGCAAGAAAATCACATTATTGACCGCTTAATCTAAAAAAATTTTAATTGTCAAATAAGCAGTGTCGTACCATAATTTTTCCTATAAGTATCAAGTAGGTAGCCCCCTAAGACGCCAGTGGAATTAGTAAATTTATTTTATTCTCACCAAAAGAATATGACGACAAATAAGCCTACCAAATTTTATTTAAATCGCTTAAAAGGTTTTGGAGTAATTGATAAGAATACGTTTTTTTTTTAATACTTTGACATCTTGTGTCTAGAAAACAAAGCAAGTTAGGACATACAATTATATAAAGTTTTTTATCATTTTTAGCTGTTAAATACGCCCTTAAAATCTTAATTTTAAATCACCCTGTATATAAAATAATAAACTGAATTTTTTTTTTCGATTTATAGCCTAGGTGTATGTACCTAATATGCCAGTCTCAAGTTTGTGTCATTAAATTATTAATCATGTGTGTTATGTGTAGGCCTTGTTACTGTTTCCCAGCGCCACTTCAGGAACAGCACTGTTAATTAGAAACCAACAGTGAATGGTCGAGTGGGGAATACTACCAAGGCATCAGAATTAATTTTAAATAATTAAATTAAATAAAAAAATCCCGGCGAACGGTGAGATTCGAACCTGGGACCCTTGGATCAACAGGCAGAGACTCTACCACTGAGCCACCCACCCCCAATAAAATGATTGTGCCACAGGATAAAGAACAATTAGGCATTCCAACGACCTGTCCAAATGGCTACCAGTGGGTAATGACACTTTAGATATGACAACCCTGTTGTCATGTTGTCATTAACAGGGTCAATGATACACATATAGTTATATAGATTGCTTAAAGCTGGTCGTTTACGAGCGGCCATATTGCCTGGCAAATATTTATTAATTTCAATCGGTTTAGCAAAAATGTGTTTTAAAACCAATTTTTAGCCTTTAGATATTTAAAAAAAAAATAATTGATTACACTTTTACTTCAAGGCATAAGCTTATGTTTATTTTGAAAAATATGGATGATCAATCTATGTAACTATCTATTTCATTGACCTTGTCAAATCACCAGGCCTACAGGGTTGCCATAATTTTGCCATATCATAACCCGTCAAAACCCACTGGTAGCCATTCAGTTTGGAATGCCTAATACAGAAAATAAACATAGTGCTAAAACAGGAACCTATAAGTGAACCGTAGAGATCGTAGATTTGTTACTTGTCCGAAGTGCAACAGTGTACACTTTTGTAGCAAATGAACAAAGTTCTGACTGCTGTCGCTGTCAGAAAATCAATATTTTTTGTCGTTTTGGATTTTTGGTTGTTTTTAGCGAATATTCTGATAACTTTTACGTTTTTTTAGTGGTTTATTTTTAGTTTTTATTGCTGTTTTTAATTGTGAAGTGTTAATTTAAGGCTATTGTACCTATTAGGATTAGGTTTATAAACAATGCCGCGTCAAAGAGGAGGAGGATATACTTGTATTTATCATGAATGTACCTCAAGAACAGGTGGCAAAGAAGGATTGTTCACTCTTGTGAAAGATCCAGTGACGTAAGTATGTATGAAACATTGAGGGTGAAATAGGAATTGACCTTGCCATAACATTGTAGTACAATGATTGTATGTATTTTTCAGACTTGAATTGTGGCTTTTAGGCAGCAAATAAAGAGGACTTACTGGGAAAGAGTGTTGAATACTTAAGTAAAAATTACAAAATTTGTGAACTGCACTTCCGGGATAAATTTGTTTATCAGTCAGGAACAAGAAAATGATTATTTGTAATGCGTTCCCAACAGTATTTCCCCATTCAGAACCTACGAAAAGAGTCACAGTTTTGCAAGGAAAATATATAAATTTTATAG